AACCGAATCAGTAATATGGCCGCGATTATGCCAATATGACAAATTCCTCGTCATTTCCACACCAATTGCAAACCTCAGGTCAGGTATTTGACTTTTCATCTGGTTCCACTCATCAGTAATCACTCTCAAAATTATCAAGTGAATGATACAAATTTTGTCCCATGCCATCTCGATTGGGCAGTTACCATGCCTTTCTGTTTTCGCTGTCGCCTGTCAGCCGCGTTTCAGCCGTCCGGGTATAAAACATTTTGCATATCATGCTGTATGGCACATTATTGACAGCCATTGAATTAGACAAAACACAATGATTGCCACTAAGACACCTTGATAAAGGACAAAACCGCCTTCGCAATAGTTGCAAAATCCTAAAGAATAAAATACCTACATGACAAAGCTTAAAAATCGACCAAAGTCTGTTACACGCGAAGCGAATCTTGTCTCACGGCACTCCGACCACATAAACTCGGTCACGACAGCAGACTCGATCTCCCTCCCCTCCTCCCTCCAATTCACGCTCTGACCTTTCTTAGGTCATCCCAGGCCGTAGCAAACCACACAGTCTCCCGATACACCCCATCAGTTTGAAATCAGAAATACGCATGTGTCGCCGGCCGGCGTGGGCCGCGGGCGGTATCCATATGCATCGGGGTCGGTCGGCGGGGCGGAACGAGGTCAAAGGTCGCGGAGAGAACGGACGAGCCGCGGGGAGGGGACGGGAGGGGGAGCCAATCAGCTGAGCGCGCAGGTGACACCCCATCTGCATGCCTGGACGCTGTGTTTCGAGGTCCACGGGTTCACAGATGTTTCTAACGGCCGGCGGTATCTCGATTGAAGCTGGTGGGGTTGAGAACCTCCATCCCCGACGGTTCTCATAGCGAACACATGAGTTAGGTATGGGAGAGAGGGAAGAGCTAGAACCGATCACTTGGTCATGGTTGAAGGGATGAGAGATAAAAGAGCCTGGCTATCTGTGACAGGAAAAGTTGACAGGGAGGATAGAATCAACATGTGAAAAAAATATCTTCATTGGTGCATTTTATCGCGAAACAATGATAAAGATACATCAATACATGCCCAGCATGCACTATAAATGTACGCCACGCACTGGCTGCATTATAACTATCTACATGACATAGGAACCCTTCATAAATGTGAGCGATATCTTTCAGAAAAGGGCAATTTCCATAAGTAGAGACAAACAGCGAGATCAATTCCTTCCTGAGAAGTGATGTCGGACATTATCTGGGAAGGCTTCTCATAATGTAGATGGAAACCGGTAGAAAGCGGCGGGACAACAAAAGGAGTGACGTATACTGATAGAAGCTGTGACCGCTTTCGGGGCCGCGGGATGAGGTCGAGAGCCGCGGCTGCCGACTTCAGGTCAGGGGTCACGGGAAACTTGTCAGCGAGGGCCGCCTGCACCTAACTAATCGCCCATGCCACACTGAGTGGGCGGGTGAAATGATTTAATTATTTCACGCATATCATCAGCATAGCGTAACTAGTGATCGATTCATAATGGTTCGCATTGTTTGGATAAGCGTCATAGATGCAAATATTAGCCAAATATGGCCCAGGCTTTTCAAAAATAAGCAAACTTCAATCAATCAATTTTAAATAAATGTAGGTATCTCACTGCATACATAGCCAAGAACAATTAAACATACAAGTCCATCACACAAATATATGATGACTGAACGATGAAATAGTTTTGTGAACTACTGACAGGCGTTCAAATTGAACCCAGGGAAAATAGCCCAAACATCAACTATCACGATATACCAAACGCTTAATATAACAACAGCAGGTCTGCGTGTCACGCCAAAATGTCGTGCGTGTCATTCATAACTCATGGATTCACTTCACCGTGACTCGTCAATTCACCTCAGTCCCCAGCCCAGCATACTATAAATGGACTGTCCCGGGTCCTCGTGGGTGCGTCCCATTCCCAGCATAATGACACAGCGATTACACGCCATAATAAAATAGCGATAGCACTCATATAACACAGGACGGGAAGTGAAACAGAGCAGTATGCGTGGTTTTACGCTTCCCGTGCTCACAGCACGGCGCATCACGACACGGTATGGCACGGTATGGCACGGCACGGCACGGCACGGGACGGCACGGCACGGCACGGGACGGCAAGGCACGGCACGGCACGGCAATTCACGCTAATCTTTGCATACCTATCTTAAGCGTCCAGCACAGCTGGTTACCGCAAGATCACTAAGTCAGAGCGATGCAACCTCTCCGTGCACAAGGTGTATTTATTAACCATGTCGAGCGCAGCTACGCCAGTTACAAATGGTCACGTGGTATCGGGTGAAAATCTGGTACGTCTGAAGCCAGTAGATGACCTGATGTGACCTGACCTGACCCGGCGTGACCCGGTGTGGGGCCCCATGACCCGGAGTGGCTTGGGTGCCCTTATGCTTCATCTGACCAGTATGTCTCGTCTGTCTGACACGAAGGAAGGTTTGCAACCGAAGCGGAGAGCATTTATTGTTATTTGAATTCAACGAGAGACGTCAAACAAATCCTACTGACACCGTGGGTAGCGTATAGGAACACATTATCAGCCATGCTTTAATGACCGAGCTGGCCTTCGGTGTAAGTTACTGTCTGCAGTGATGACTTCACGTGCCACTTCATGACCAGCAGCACTAAACACCGCGGAAATAAAGCTGTCATGCAAAACCATCAACGGTGCTCAGGGCATGGGGTCGAGAAAGATGGTTGTTTATTGACTTACAAGGCTGTGCAAACTGCAAAGACCGTTGAAAGGGTTTCAATACTATTGCATTATCTCCTGAACGCCATAATCTTCATTCAGATAGTGAAAATAATTTTGACTTGCTTTTAACGAAGAAGAAAATATGATATATCCAGTGCGAAGGGAATTATGCTTTGTTCTCACATCGCATGTTTCGTGAGCGGTTTGGCTCCGTTCGTTGTTAGCAGAGTGGTGCACGGCCTATTGCTCGGTTACAACGTCTGTAACCATTGCCAAGGCCATCTATAGAAGGTACAGTCACCGCCGACCAATCAGAGACAGATCCTGAGTGACGTCACCCCTGATGCTCGAAAGGGGTACTCCATTCCTTTACAACGTAAAAATGACTAACTTCATTTGAGGATTGTTGGTGACACTCTACTTATTTCGCTCAACCATTGATGTCATTGGAAAGTCAAACTAATTTACTAACGATAAAAAAAGCAGCAATATGCTAAGAAATGGCCGGTTTTGAAGATATGGACGATTTAAAAACCCTCTGCAGTTGCAGGAAAGCAACGTAAAAACGCATCGAGCTTATATTTTTACTATGAATAAATCATTTTTCAGTAAGTTTTTAGATATGGTATCAATTTATTCAACAACTTTATTACAATATTTTTATTACTTGGAACTTTACTTCAAAATAATATTTTCAAAAATGGCAACTGTTGGCAAGTAGCTTTGAAGCGATTGTGGCGCGCCGCGCCATTATTGTCCTGAGGCCCCCATATGATGTCATCAAAAGTGGAGTGACGTGGGTCTGACCATTGCACCCCATGCCTATACGCCTGTCAGGTTGAAACACCCCGCCTTGTATCCCTATTTGACCTTCCAGAGACAGACCCACTCATTAAACCGCCACTGACCCCGAGGTGTAGTGTGGGAGGGACGAAGGGAGGCCAGGACAGCACACTGATGAGGGCGGGGCACCTCACGAGGAGAGGGGGAGGGGGCGGTGCCCCGCCCTGACAGGGGAGACACGGTGCCCCGCCCTGACACACACCGAGGAACTGGCCAGAGCGTGGGACCTAAAATGGTGACAGGTGTTTCGACAATGGGTGACGAAATTGTCACTTGTGGTGCACGACAGGAGCGAGCAAGGATCGTTTATGCGCACACATTTTTACCGTTCACTTGAAACAAGTAAAACGGGGGCTACTGGGCCAACATTTACAACAACAAAGAACTGCAACAAGTGTGGTCGGTGTTTTGAACACGGAGCTACAGAGCTGCTTTATGAACATGCTGAATATTAAACAATGAAATAAAAATGCGATGCACCATACAAGTCACAAGACAAGTCGGTTGTGCAAAAGCATGAAATACGAAAATTTCATGGACATTGATGCGATCTTCAGATAAATAATTACCGGATAAGACGGCAGCAGCTGAGCCTGTGCGTGACATCAATCACACCAAGATTCGCAGCATCGTGATTCAGATTGTTTTTGCAACCAATCTAAAGACAGACGACTCTTTCATTGGATCGCCAGGTGATGATGTGTTGGAAGCGTCATCAAGTTGTACGATAGGATTCACTTCGTAGATCGCCGCGGTCGCACGAGGTTAGTTCGCACAAGTGTTCACTGTCCACTGTCTCCACTATCAAAATCCACTGAGTTCACATGTGGACAAGGGGTCACTGGCCTAGCGAGTGATGGTTTATTGCATGCTGGCATTATTGTTAGACCGAACTTGAACTGGTTGAATTCAACACCGTTTCAAGCATCGAAAACCAGTATATTGCATTTCAATCGTCGGAAAACGGAACCCACGAGAGATCTTTGATAAGTCATCATTCAGAAAAGATGTGTCGTCTGAGGTAGCTGAACTACTTTTGATAAGGACTGTTTCAATTTAGATGAACTTGATACACTGACACAGGCATCTCGACCAACTTAACGGCTGGTTATTACGAATGCATCCAGTAGTAAATGTCGGTCAAATGTCCGTTACATTTTGCACTGTTGAAATTTAAAATTATGACACATCATCCCTCTATCTTCACGCACAATAAATGTATGGCCAGTGAAGGATTCACCCAGAGTCGGAGAGTAAAATAGCGACTGCAATGCGTAAAGAAGAAACGACACCGACCAAAATATGGAAGGCATTCTGGTAGGTATCGCAGCAGCAAAACTACTGGATAGAGCATGCTAAAATTAAAAAAATACTCCTTATATGATTGATGTAAGCGAAAACAAAACTTTTTTGAACTTACCTCATTTTGGAGAGTACCAGCTCCTATCCGCCAAAAGTCATCATCTTCTACGTTTCGCTCACAAACTTTCCACACGGATCAATCCACCGAAATCCACTTCCACAGTGGTTGGTCCACACACTGGTGCACCTCTGCTCACTTCCACACGGCTGTTCCACCTCACATGGTGGACGGACAGCGCAGCTCCCGCGCGCTCCCACTCTCCTCGACGGTTGGCTCTCGACTGCCGCTCCATGCCGCTCTACTCTACCGGTTCTACCGCTCTGCCGGCTCGCAGGCGCCGCGCGGCGGCAGGAGAGCATAGTCGGCGCGGGCGGCGGGCAGTGATGGCCCTGGACACAGACCCTCGGGCGCTCTTTCCTCCTCTTAGTGTGGGTGGTGACCTCCGAGGGGAACGTTTACCGCGCAGTGCCTGTGGTTATCGGGTGTTCGATCGGACAGCCGTCGAGCCCGAGGGTCTGTGACGAGGGAGACTGACGTTGAACATTCGCCTGTGAATGTTTGCCAATGCTTGTATGACACGCTTGTCCTCTGTTTCAGCTTCGGTTGGATCTGCTAGTGGTCAGCAACCACGACTGCTCTGCCGCTGCTCAGCGCGACCAGGCTCGACGGCGACGGCAAGCAACGCCATCGGCGGAGCGGTGCGTCGCAGCGCTCCCAGGGCTAACGAGGATGTGGTCGCTCATGTCGGTAGCGACGCTCTCTTCCGGCGCGGTGCGTTTGGGTGATTGCAGCCGGCTTCCTCTTCAATGTTTGTCGTGGCTGTTAAATCACAGCTTTTCCGGCCGTGGAGCGCATTGCAGTGATTTATGGTGCCTTCCGAGATGTTATTGCTGTTATTTTGAAGAGCTCTTACTTGTAAATAATGCAGATCTATTGTCGCTTCCCTTTGGGATGATGTTTAAATTGTGCACTATCGAATAACTTCTAATAACTGTATGGGCCTAATGTCTGTACGGCAGGAAGCCGTAGAGGAACTTTCCCCGTAACTGAAAGGAAACAATGTTAAATAGTTGCTTTATCAGTGTTCCAAACGTTACATGCATGATGGTGGTTGCGGATGATAATGTTTAAAAAATAACCATTTAGTTCATAGATGAGTTTTAAAACAAACTACGCAATTGCATGAGGAAAATATCGATGATCTACTCAGATATAATGCTAGCGTCGCAGTATCACGTTATTGCGGAAAAGACCAGTGCACCTCCTCACCAATGCTATGTGTGAGGATCATTTCTTTCTAATATCTGGAAAGTGGAGCAAGACAGCAAGAAAATGTCATCACTCATCAGGCTTACATGCTTCGTTCTCGGTAAAATCACGTTGTTAAGATCATCGACTGTGCGGACGGCTTCGAGCAATGACCACTGCTAGGATGACACGATGAAAAACGTTTGGCCGTTTCTAGCGCGTTCATGCCATATTTTTTGCGTTTCATAGGTATGAGATCGATACTGAGATCGTATCAGGAATCAGGATTATAATGTGAAGTGAATTACAAAACGAAATCATCAGAGTGCCACATCACTAAAAATAAAACGCTTCCCCATGGTTTTCGCGAATTCGTCGTAGACAATTAAAGGGCCGCAACTTTGCGGGTAGCCAGATGAACAATCGAGTGCTAGAGAGACTGCACTGCGGGTCATTTGATAGCGCTATATATAAGGGGTACGCCTTCCTGGTGCGAATATTGCACAGTGGACACTTCATACCTTCTTTGGTCGTATGTTCTAATAATTCCCACACAATCACGATTCACGATAAAGATATGTCCGCACGGACTTCGAGTAGTATTCATCATGCGTCGTTGAAGCACCACATGAAGTTTAGAGTTATGATTACTAGGTTAGATGCAGGCTGTTCTCCGCCAAGGCTGTACCAATGTCAGCATTCAGCAAACAATTGAACGCTGAATGTTGAGATTATGTCCACCAGAAGCATCCGCTTCGTTCCCGGATGTCTATATCATTAGGCAATCCTAAAAAAAACTTAGTTTTATGATGAATTGTCATTCTTCCATTATTTTTTTAGGGAATACTATAGGCGTACTCGTCTCTTCAAGTGTCCGAGCCATAGACTGCCGTTTGGAATGTGTCGAATGTGCATTTTTAATTTGACGAATCTTTTGCAATGAGACACACTGGGCCGTTTCGCAACGTCACTTTATCCAGTTGTAAGCAATATTAAACGCAATGAAACTCTCAAGCATTTCCCGAATGATCTGCCTGCTCTATCTACACACTTCACACAACTGTGTTAACTGAGGAGGACGTCGACCCGGCCTGACCTGACCTGACGCCACCTGACACGACCGTTTCCTCTCCCTGCCTCCGTCTGTGTGCGGTCGGCAATATCAGACTGTTCTGGGGCACATCAGCTCCCAGCTGGAGACTGATTGGAGCATTGTGGTGGACCATCGCCGCCGCGCTGCGCCTTTATTCAGAGGAGACGGCGAGGGCCCGCTAACGTCGAACTGTCGCGCGCGCCAATAGAGACGTCTCGCGCGGCGTATTACCGTAACAATGCAGCGCGCGTGCCAAGCGAATGACGGCGGGCTGGCTGGTCCATTTCTGAACAGGTGACGCTGAGTCTATTCTTTTGAGTGACATGACATGACGGTCTGTCCTGGTGGACATGATGCGACGGTCCGGTCGTCTGACCTCTTGGTCTACATGATAGTCCGGTGGTCTGTTTTGATCGACATGGTGGTCCGGTGGTCCTTCTTGAATAACCTGACGTTCCTAAAATCGGTCTGACGTTGGTCGCGCTCCGCTGATACAAGCTGTTAACTTTCGCAGGTGTTCATCTCCGTTTCCTTTCATGACTTTGAATGAAGACAATTGCAAATGCTCTCTCCGATTAGCGAAATGACCACCATTTTTTCAAGGATACGGCAATGGTTCTGTTTTTTTTATGTATGGAATTACGCTCTACGGGCCCTGACATTTTCACACGTGCCAGCGGCCGCACAAATGCCCATCGGACGACTATCCCTGACATGCCACTGACCTACCATTAATGAGGTGAGCTTCCATTCCATCCAGAATGGTAGGCAAACACTGAGTAGCGGGCATAATGACTACTAAATAATTGACCGATGAATATAAATGGTTTCCTGACTGTATAACGGTCGAAAAAGGCAATATTTGTGAAATAAAATCGAAGAAAGATTGAGATTAATGATTAGTCAGCACGTCAGCATCACCTAATGGATGAAAATAAGACGGAAAAAACACCGTTTAGTTTGAGCATATTTCTAAACAGGCAGTGGCACCGCACCCCACCGTCTATAACGAGTGATACAGTGTTCGCCACGGGCCCCAAAATCCCCAGCCCAGCCCGGCCCGGGCCCATGGGTTCAGAGCCCGGCCCAGCCCATAGCCCGCTCTTGGCAAATATGTCCAAGCCCAGCCCGGCCCGGCCCGTCAAAAATAGCAATCTAGTTATTGTCTTAGTCTATTGCTATAATAAGCATGATTGATAACACTATTTTGAGAACAATTCAAATTGCATGAATATTAACATGGCAATCATGACTCCCTTCTTTTCAATGAATATAATCATTTCAAGTACCTATGGCACAAATTTAACAGTAACAGCAAGCGCCTCAGTCAATTAGGTCATGATTACACACCTATAAAAAGTTTACATGATTATATTAACTACATTCTATGAGTAAAGTTATCTTGCAAGCTGATGTGTGTGATCATTATCATGCATAATTGGTGACTCTAATGCATACTTGAAGGAAGTATTTGCAACTTACTCTATACTTCCCAGCACTTACCAGCAGAAAAAGCTTGACTTATCAGTAGGCGGAACTATGGTCAAGCGTACCCATTTTCGGGAACGCATTTTCGTTCCCATTATTGGGAACGATAAACCCAAATATGGGAACGCCATGTAGGCATTATTTAAAACAAGAAAAAGAACCGTTAAATGACGTCCAAAAAATATAAAACGATCGTGAACCGCCTGATAGTTGTCTCAATATTGTTGGGAAAGAGTTTGATATTGTAAGGCCCATCGTAGTTTCAAATCGTTCCCCTATTTCTAAAGCAGTCCATCACCCGGGCCGCGAGCCCAAATTTGGGAACGCTCTCGTACACTGGCGCTGCAAGCGTTCCTTATTATGGGAACGGCGTACCCAAAATTGGGAACGATTTCACCGACGCCTTTCAGGGGCTCTTTTCATTAACAAGCATCACGTCCAACGCCGCAAATTATTGTTAACGCAACAATCATCAGATGACCTTTCCGGCAAGACCGTTGCATGTTTCGCCCGGTCTTCTGCGCTTTTATTCCCGTCGATCTCGCAGCGGGCACGCCCCCTCTGCAGGATTACGTAATCCACAACGCTCAGCGATGTTCAACAAGGTCTTCCATACCTATATCCACCGTCCGCGCCGAGGGTGGAGACATGTCAAGCACCTGTCTGCTAATCACCGAGAGTTGACGAGCACAAGAAGTATCCAAAAATGGGAACGCTGAATATGTTACACCCTCAAAACACCTAGTCCCAATGAAAATCTAGTTTTTTCCTTTCTTAATGAGTGTAAGTGGCAAAAGGCCTGGTAGGATGGGCACGAGGAATGATCGAAATCAGCATAAAAATTATAAATAAGCCACACAGAGCGACCTATATCAGAGAAATTCCCCCCAAACGATCATGCTTAGAAACGCCGAAGACAAAAACCACGCTCATGACGCTGCTTATAAAACAACGCTAAACAGCTAGCATCCAAATAAAATATGTCTTTCAGGGCTGATAAAATACAGCTGAATGATTTTAAACCACTGAAACTGAGTTTACAACAGTAGTTCGGTAAAATCACTGACGTTTCACGCGGTCGATCGCCCCGACACCAAAAGTCAACAATATTACCTCGGGACTGTCCGCGTGTTCGCTTGCATATGTCAGCATCTGGTGTCGCTAGAATGAAACTTCATAACCAGGCGAAAATTATTATACTTGACCTCAAAATGTAAAAAATGCTTCATTTTCCTTAAAATTGCATGTTAAATGTCGTATAACCCATATTTCCACCATTCTGTCATTTTTAAAAAATCATTAAAAATATCATTCCACGGTCAATTTCTTTGTTCCACGGTCAGATTAAAGATAACTTTATGGAGATTTAGTAGATACTTAAATCAGCGTGCACTTTTTTGAGACGTGATGCACTTTTGAGTTTTAGT